ATGATGGCTTAGAGCACTATTTCCGGAGCCAGGTTGTCTGGGCTCCAATCTGGCTCCACCACTTGCCAGCTTCATGACCCTGCACAGGCAGTTCTTTAATTTCTCTGTGCCTCAGTTCCCTCATCTGTGCAATGGGGATAAGCACATGGTAGTACTTACTTCAGAGAGATGTGGTGAGGATTGAATTCATTCCTACAGTGGCTAGCACACAATGTGTTAGCTGTATAAGAGAGAATCATTCTTATCCAGAGAGCTGCCAAGAGAAGAGAGATCGTCATAGGGAATATTGCAGAGCAGTGTCATCATGCCAGTCTGGGGGTGGGAGAGGGAGTGAGGCTCCTGAGTCTCCTATAGTGAGGGAATCACTTACCAGGTGAGCAAAAGAATGGGCGTGACTGAGATTTCTAATTTGTTTCTCCTTAGATATTGCAGAGAAGTTATGGCAGACTGGAAATGGAACTCAGACTTGATTTATCCAAATCCCTTTTTGTAGATAAGGAAACTATCCCCAAGAGAAAAAGCCTGTGGCCATGACCACAGTGTAGGTTGGTAGTAAAAGGAGCTGGAACCCAGGACTCCTGACTTCTGTCCACCTGTAGATGCTGTCCCTGCTGCTCCAGGCGGGAAACAGGACGAGCGCCCTGCCCTGGCTCTGGGAGAAGAGCTAGCTAGCTTCTGCTTGGGTCACATCCCTCCCAGTCCTTGCCTGTGAATAACTTTCAATTTCCCATTGTAATCATGAGCTCAGGGACAGTTTTCGGTGTTTGCAGCACAAAATTCCCCTAAACTCCTGGCAGGCCTTACTGGAATTTAGATTGTAAGCAGTTCATTAGTTCCATCTTGTATTTCTTGAGCCCATTTGGGCATCACAAGGCAATGCAACCCTTAGGGATGAGCTGTGACATCGGACTGACAAGGGGTCGACAAACTGCGGCTCACGAGCCACATGTGGCTCTTTGGGTAAGTACATGTGGCTCTGAAGTAAAAACGAAAATGAAAATAAAACTATCAGAGTGTCATTTATAAAATTTGTAAAGGTTATTATTCACATAATGGTGATTTCATTTGTTTTATGGCTCTTGAATAATTTTTAAATTGTTGCAAGGGACAGAATTGGCTCTTTCTTCTCAAAAGTTTGCCGACCCCTGGTCTAGGACATGACACTATATCCAAGATGCTCAGAACCAGAGCTGGCTCAATAAATGTTAGATTTGTTATTATACCTATTATTGTAGTTGCTCAGTACATATTTGTTGGATGGATGGATGGATGGATGGATGGATGGATGGATGGATGGATGGATGGATAAACGATTGGATCATTGAAGGAACAAATGCCTAAGCAGACCCCAACTTGCGTTTACAGCTTTAGGCATCCTATAAAACTTGTTAGGCTTAGTCTGGTCAAAAGAGGGCAGCATTGAGTCAGGAATCCCAGTTTGCCAAAGACTTAAACCCTGTCTTTGGACTCCCACCTCCCAATCTTGGAGGGCCACTTCTAATGCGCAGGTTCCTATCCAGGCAGTTCCACCAGCCCCTGAGAGGGGAAGATCAGCATATTCAAGTCTGTATTGCCCACCACCTGGGATGACTGAGGGCTGTAACTCATCTTCAGAGTTCTGGGATAAAGGGATGTAATGGTTGATGTCTCCCGCTGGAAGTAGGTGGTGAGTGGAGCCCTCCAGCCTGCAGCAACGCTTTTCCCAGAGAAAAGGGAAGAGGGGCTCAGGCATCTATACTAATGCAAATTCCAGGGGAAGAATGAGCTCTTTCAGGTACAGAGAATGCTCAGCTGACCCTTCTCTACTCTCCCCTGCCCGCACCACACTCTCCACATCTTCTTCCCTTGTTCCCACCTCCGACTCCCATCCCCTGAAGGCCTTTCCTCACAGCTGAACAAATCCCATCCTCCTTTCAAGTCTGAAATTGGCCTCCTGTGAGGCTTATCCTTGAACCCCTGAGCCAGAATAAGACCCATCCTGTCAGCCCCTCATGGCACTTCGTGCTTAAGAGCCTTCCCACTTTCTGCCTTGGATTATACGGTAAATTGTGCATTTATCTTATTTCCCTTACTAAACTGTAAACTTCCTGAGAGCAGGAAGCTAATCTTAGGCATCCCTCGAGACTCAAAAGTATTTCTTTTTCAGAAGACCTGCTTTACCCCACTCCCCACTTCACCCCCAAAGCCTGGCCTTGGTATCCCTCACCTGCCCTCCCACCAGCACCCTGCACTCCACTCATCACCACATCACCGCAGTTCTTACTCTGAGCCGCACTTTAACACCCCCTTTACTAGTCCAGACACACACAGATTTTGACATGTGTAAGGACTGGGATAGACACTTGTTCCTAATTGTTTTCCCAGTGTGGCACCTGGTATACCCAATGGATGTTTATCCCCAGAGCCCTTCCGACTTCAAGTACTAATTGGGCATGGGAGTGTGGGGTAGACTACCCCTCCCCAGGACTGGACGTTGGGGCCCGCAGGATTGAGATAGCTCAGCCCAGATTCCCGGCACATCAAGGAGCACATGACCCAGGAATTCCCCAGGATCTGCTGGCAGCAGTCACCTGACGTAATTTGATTCCCTATCAGGCATTCAGGTCTCCCTTTAAGGAATCTGAGAGTTGAGTTTCAGCAGTTAAGATCATTTCTGAGTCCCATGTCTGTTTGTCCGCCTTCCTTGCCTGTTTGCTGTGGGCAGATAGCGGCCACAGCCACTGGTCACTAAAGCCTTGTTTTGCAGCCCCTTGGGAGGCACCAGGCTGCACCTTGGCTGCAACAGTTCTCTTTTCTCTAGGGTGTTTGGTCATCCATGCCTTGCCCCCCAAGTGGGGATCCACATTCTAGTCAAAGGAAGCTGAAGTGGAGGTGGGGAATGTACAAGACGGACAGATCTAACCCCACTGCCATCATCAGTTTAGCTGATAGTGGAAGGAAATTGGTTATCTGTAGATGCTTTCACTTGAGCCTTTGAATTCCTTTTTACTCACATTCCTTTGGTTCATAAGCACCTGTTGAGTGTTTTTTTGATGTGTCTAGCAGTGCACTAGGTGTTGGGGACACCTGAAAGCATTCATAGGAGTCCAGATTAAGTCTGAAAGGGAATCTAGGCTCATCTATATAATGCTTGTATCTTACTTATGAGGAAATGTTGATTCATCCGGCTCATGGGCTCACATCCTTCAGCTCTCATCTTAAAAGGCCCCTCTGCAGAAAGCTGCCCCTGGTCAACCTTCTTCTGTCTGGACTAGGGGCTCCCTTCTGTTATATACCCCAAGGGCCTTCTGTCTTCCCCCATCAGGGACACATTTTCCTCTGTCTAGGATATTTGTTTATTTCTCACTAGACTGAGAATTCTCTCAGAGCAGAGACCGTGTCCATCTTGTCACCATCATATCCATAGGCCCAGCACCTAGTGGGCACCAGTATCTGTAGAACAAATAAGTGATTGGTAAAAGGCCACAGAACTGATTGGTGTCAGTCAGGACTAGAACTCAGATCTCCCAACATTCAGCCCCATGCTTCCTCTTGAGAGCCCTAATCCATCTAAAAGGTCCCAGCTAGCTGGGACTCCCAGGAATAGATGCAGATCTAAGGGGAGAAAGTAAACAGCAGGTCAAGAGAACCGTCACCTGGGTCTCATTCTAGTTTTGCGGACAAGCCAGAGCAAGAGGGGAGACATGTAGAGAGAAGAATGCCAAACTGGCTACCACCTCCCATAGGCCTCCAGATTTGGGGAAAGGGGTTGGTTTCCTGTATAAGTGGATCACCTCCAGCCACAAAGGGGCAAAGTGCCCCATTCTCCATCCCTAACTCACTCTAGAAAGGGTCAAAGCATCAGTGGAAATAGGAAAGTAGGCGGACACTAAGTACAAAACTCAGTCACTGGGGATCTAGTCCTTCTTGATCCTCAGCATGCCCTGAACACACAGCTGGAGGCACCATTCTCCTGGGAGTCTGAATCCCAGCTCTGCCTCCAGTTTCTCACCAGTCAGAATAATACCCATTTTACAGGACCAGGTTATCATAAAGACTCAATGGGAAATTGTGTATGTGCCTTTCTCCCCTTTACACTCCACATTTAGAGAAAGGAGGAGAGCCTGTGTATATTCTCATTTCACTCTAAATGACACTCAGAATGGGGATTCTGGACCTAGTGCTCCAGACCTTAAAAATCAAGCCAAACCTCATGACCTACCACCAGTCTTCCTGGCTCCAAAATCAGAGAGGACAACCTTGGGTGGGCAGCTATTTACCAATTTAGGGAGACAAGTTAAATAGTGAGAGTATTCCTTTGGTTCTCTCCACTTCCTTCCAACACTTCATAAATTCCATCACATCTTTAGAGACCCACTAAACCCTAGAAGCCTTCTTTGATGAAGAGGTAAGAATTTTCCAGAACCGAATTTCTGGGATCCGATTAAGACAGATTAAGACTGATTAAGACAGATGAACTTAGAACCATCCTTCCCACTTAGCTGGAGTCTGCCTCCATCTCATTCATCCCTCTTTCCCCCTTATAGTCTTAAAGAAGTGGTCAAGTGACTTTATAGATTTTGGCTTGGGAGAAGCAAATTACTCAGGATGGAGAAATACTTTGGTGACCTCTAGTACTGTCAGATTGCCCCTAGCTAACTGAAAACACAGCACAATAGAAGGAAAACAGGCGGCTCTAAGGAGGACCAAGAGCCACTCAGATGCAAGAGCAGTTCCAGGGCCCCTTAAAGGTTCCAGACCCCAGGAGTAAGCAACCCACCAAGTAGCCTCCACTGGTGTCCCTTAGTCCCTCTGCCTGTCGTTCGGGGGAGAGGGGCAGGTGGGCGGGGCCCCACTGACACCTTTCCAGCCACGCAGAGGGGGGAGGCGGGGCCGAAGGCCCGGGAGAGCCAATGCGGGCGGCCCCGGTCACGTGCAGCCTGCGAGCAGCCCAATGGGCGTGGGGGGCGTGGCCAGGGCCCGGAGCTCTGGACATTTATAACAAGTTGGAATGCGGCGGCTGGGCGCGCGCTTCGGGGTGGCTGTGGGCTCCGGTGATGGGCGCCGGACGTGTGCCCCGAATCTAGCCCTGTCCCCGCAGCCGGCCGCCACTCTGCCATCGCTCCAGCTCGCGATGGAGTCGCTGGTTTTCCCCCGGCGCCTCAGCCCTGCTCCGTCGGCCGCCGCCGCCCTGGCCGACGGGCTCAAGTCGCCCAAGCCCCTGATGAAGAAGCAGGCGGTGAAGCGGCACCACCACAAGCACAACCTGCGGCACCGCTACGAGTTCCTGGAGACCCTGGGCAAAGGCACCTACGGCAAGGTGAAGAAGGCACGGGAGAGCTCGGGGCGCCTGGTGAGTGCTGCTCCCTCTCGCGGGCGCCGGGCGGCCCGGCGGGCTGCTGGAGGCAGGGCCGGCGGCGGCGAGTGCGAGGTTGGGCCAGGGACTAATAATGCCTTGCTCCCGGGAGTGGCCCCATTCAGGCTTTACCAAGCTGAAGTTGCGTGGGGGTGTAGGGGGCGGTGGGGGTGTCCGCTGCAGATATGACTGTCCGTGATTATAGGGCCAGTTATCGTGGAGCTGAGAACCCCAACAACACCGGACAGAATGCGACGATGGCCAATAAGTGAGGGGGACAGCTGCTGCAGGGTGCCTAGAAGACGAATAGTGTCCCGTTTGGGGATGAGAAGGCTCCCTAGACAAGGTGGAACTTAAGTTAGATTTTGCTTGGAACAGACTCTCCAATGGAGTGGAATGGGAAGTGAAAGTAGAATGCACCTGATCACAGTATGGATTTAGTAAAGGTGTGTTTGAATGAATGAATGAGGTGTTCGGTTCTCAACTCAGTGCTATTAGTCTGGCAGCTCAACACACTATGGAGACCTGCAGGGGGGAGGGAGAGGAGTGGGTTGGACACTTAGGTCCTTTCCAGCTCTAAGAGTGAGTCCAAGTTTCATTATGATGGGTTTCTTTTTTCTGGAAAATGTGAAACCAGGC